AGGTCCAAAGCTTCTAAACCGTGAGCCAAAGTAAACCTCTGCTGCTCTAAATTGTGGGTGCCAGGTGCTGTGTCCTAGCAACAAGGAAGGTCACCAAGTCAGTCTCTGTGGTGACAGCCTGGGCGCTGCGCCTGCTGTAGAGTACGTGCTGCATGGCTGTGTATTCAGTGAATGACCAAACCAAAGCACAGGCCAGTTCAGAGCGGTGCCGACGGGCGCCGACATGCTAACGCTGCCAGTAGCAAGGCGGTGCGAGCCTGGGGCTGGAACCCAGGCCCCGTGTCAGGACTCAAGGGTCCAAGGGGCGGGCTGGGTGCACACATGACAGTCCCAGCACTCAGTGTCTTCCAAAGAGTACAGTGTGGAACCCAGGCGAGGGCCATCTCACCTTGAGAAAGCATCAGGCCCTCCTGCACGGGTGCTCAGCCGCAGAGATGCCGCACGCGCTGCTAGGACAGGTGGCGCGAGGACAGGTGGCACCCTCACTTCCCTGAGCCCCAGAAGGCTCATCAGGAGAAGGTAACCGGCCACACTCGAGTGGAAGGATGCACTACGGGGTTTCCAAACCATCACGGTCATCGGAAACGAGGAGAGTCCAAGACACTGCAATCAAGGGCCACCTGTGGAGATGTGCTGGCCACGTGTCCTATGTGATCCTAGAGAAGATCCTGAAACAATCTTTTTTATTATTATTTTTTAAAGGACACTCTTGGTGGGATAGTGGAGCACCTGCCTGGCATGTGTGCGACCCCAGCTGCCATGCCCAGGACCTCCCCTGCAAATAAGAAATAGATAGCCAGGTATGCCTATGATTGCAGCACTCGGGAGTCTGAGGCAGGAGGATCACTACAAGTTTGAGGGCAGCCTGGGCCATGTGGTGAGTTCAAGGCCATCCTGGGCTACATAACAAGAACTGTCTCAAAATATCAAGGGAAGAAAAATAGAAGTTAAGGAAATTAAACAAACTGCACACTTTATTTAGCAGTGACATATTGCTGTTCTTTCACTGTGCCATTCTTTGTACCAACTGTATGTGCTAATGATAGGATGCTGGGGGTGAGGGGGGATGGCGCCATGCTATCATTTCAACCTCTGTGCTCATCTAAATCTACTCTAAAACAGCCTCCTTCTAAACTAAAAACAGTAGTGATATATCTGTGGTGAGAGGTTCCAAGCAATTTCTCTTCTCAGCTGTCCTTTCCTGTATTTTCTAAGCACTCCACAATAAATATGCCTTGTTCTTGTCACCAGAAAAATATTCAATAAACTTTGCTTTTTAAAAAAATGAATGAGCACCTGCATATGCAAGTGCAGGGACCAGGGTTGGATTCCCGGCACCACATGCCACATTGGTCCCACCCCCAGGCACACTGAGCCAGCCACCAAGACCAGGCATGATGGCGCACGCCTGCAATCCCAGCACTGGGGAGGCTGAAACAGGAGGATCAACATGAGTCCAAGCTGTGTAGTGAGACCCTGTACCATATACATTTAAATAAATAAATAAATAAGCCAGGCCCTCGGAAGCAAAGTGCTACCTAAATAAAAGTACAGTGAGAGTCATTCCTTGGGCAATGACCAAAGCCCACTTTATCACTCCACACCCGCAGCCAGAGCCTGGCGCCATCCCCAGGGAGGGCGGAGTGCCCTGCAGGCTGCCAGCAGGTTTCCCAACCCTGCTCTGAGGCGCACTTGGGTGGCAGGAGAGGGGGCCAAAGGGCACCTCCTGCGGAGGGGGATGGGGGTGGATCAGCCCCAAAAAGACTGCATCCCCGTCACCTGCGGCTCCCCAACGGGACCAGAGCCAGGGCTGAGTCCCAGGACCTCGCTGGCCCCCAGAGCACAACCTGGACTGGAATCCCCCTCCCACTTCTGCCGTCAAGGCAAGGGTCAGCGGCCCCACTGATGCCGGCAAGCTGAGGCCCTCCAGGGTGGGCCCTGAACCTCCTTGATGTGCTCTGAGCACAGCAGGGCGCTGCACCACAGCTCCAGCTCCTGGGTCACCAGGTGTGGATGGCAGTGGGATGACTCGGGTCCCCTGATGCTCAGCGCTGACAATGTCCCTTGCCCTGGCACCCAGGCTGCACGCATGAGGCCTCCCCTGGGTGCAATCTCTGCTGGCTAGGCAGAAGCCTCAAGCGGGAGGACCTAAAGTTTGAGGCCGGCCATCAAAGGTCAATGAGACTGTCTCAGAAAGAATGCTAAAAGGACTGGAGGTGTAGCTCGGTATGAAGGTCCTGGGTTTGGTCCCTGGTGCTGAAAGAAAGGAGCAGGCCAGGGGAAGATACCCCAGGAGTCGCTCATGGTCCCAGAAGGACTGGTTTGGTGGGAGCTGTCTGGAAGAACCTGCGGAGAACGGGCTCTGTCTCCTACCAGCACAAAGGGCACAGGGCTGAGCCGGGAATGTGGCAAGCTGCTGCCTTCCAAGTGGCTCCTGGGCTCGACTGCTCAAGGTCACCTCTGATAGGAACTGGCCAGTCTGCTGGCGTGTCCAGGGATCTCCCCGCCACAGGCCTTCCATGGCTTTCCAGACCCTGAGAAGCCACTCTGGAGAAGTCTGGGCCTCACCCGAGCGAGGACCTTGTAGCAAGAGTGGTATTTCTTAGCAGGGTGTAGTAGCACACATCTGTAATCCCAGCACTCAGGAGGTTGAGACAGGAGGATCTCAAATTCAGGCGAATTGAGGCAATCCTCAGCTACATACTAAGGCCTTGTCCCCCAAAACAAAAATAAGTAGCCCTTCCCTCCTACTTCTATTATTTCTCAGACTCACCTGCCTTGGAGGACAGTGATTTGCATGAATGCGTGTGTGTGCACATCTGGGTGCTTTGGGTATGTGTGTGTGTGTGCGTGTGTACACATCTGGGTGCTGTGGGTATGTGCGTGTGTGTGCACATCTGGGTGCTGTGGGTGTGTGCGTATGTGTGTGTGTGCACATCTGGGTGCTGTGGGTATGTGCGTGTGTGTGCACATCTGGGCGCTCTGGGTGTGTGTGTGTGTGTGCGCACATCTGGGTGCTGTGGGTATGTGCGTGTGTGTGCACATCTGGGCGCTCTGGGTGTGTGTGTGTGCATGTGTGCACATCTGGGTGCTATGGGTGTGTGTGTGTGTGCACATCTGGGCGCTTTGGGTATGTGCATGTGTGTGTGTGTGCACATCTGGTGCTGTGGGTATGTGCGTGTGTGTGCACATCTGGGCACTCTGGGTGTGTGTGTGCGTGTGTGCACATCTGGGTGCTGTGGGTGTGTGCATGTGTGTGTGCATGTGTGCACATCTGGGTGCTATGGGTGTGTGTGTGTGTGTGCACACATGCGTGTTGCGCCCACTCTGTCTTAGACACAAAACAAAGGCTCTAAATCATTACCCAGACAGAGCAAGGGAGGGAAGCCCGGCCCACTGCACAGAGCCAGCCCTGCCTTCCTGAGCAGGGCTGTTTGTCCACTAATGAGGCCTAGGTGTTTGGCTTGGGCCCAGGCCAGTTCTACTCCTTGGCGAGGGGGAGGGGGCAGAGCTCAGCCTAGCCTACAGGGCCTGGCGGTTGGGCACAGCCCCCTGGCACAGCAGAGCCCATGCCTTCCTCCCCACCTCAGGGACTCCCAAGATGCCACTTCCCAGCTCACCTCCCACCGGGGCCTGTGGCGGTACTGCACCCTGTGAATAAGCCCCTGGAAGGCCTTCCCCAGGAGGATCACACGCTCCAGAACGCTGATCTCTGGGCAGGCTTGTAAAGCCGCATACGTGCACTGTGCTGGGGTCCATGGCATGGGTGAGCTTTTCCAATTAGATAGATGGTCCCAAATTCATTTTTTAAAAAAGCAAAAGGCAGACCAGGCATGGTGGTGCACACCTATTATCCCAACAGTCAGCAGGCTGAAGTAAGAGGGAAGCCACAAGTTCAGTGCCGGCCTGGACTACACAGTGAGACCCTGTCTCAAAACAAAACAAAAAACTAAGAAGCACAGGCAAACAAGACGGCTAAAAAAAAAGATGGTTTCTCCAGTCAGTGGAGTCAGCGACGGCCAGGCCACCAGGAGGGCAGTGTTGGTCCCAACACAGGCCTGGAGTTGGGAAAACCAGGATGGCAGAACACTAGGCCGAGGACAGGGGCTACCACTGCCCAGGGCTGGCATGGTGGAGGGAGCCTGCACTGCGCCCGCATGGAATCCCCAAGGGACTTGAGGTGGAAGCGCTGCCCCAGTGAGGTATTAAGGCCCCTGGTGGGTCAGGTGTGGCAAGGAGCCTCGTGGCTGCGCCCACCAAGGACACACATGGTCCACCTGGCTTGCGACCACACAGCCACCTCAGCTAGGGAGCAGGGAGTGGGTACCTCCCGGGGCAGGGCAGCCTCTGTCTGGGTTTTGGGGGACCCTGCAAAGCCAGTCTCCCCCACTTCTTACCCTTTCCACCCTGGCACAAGAATATCCACCCCACACGGGGCACAGGATGGGGCACGCTGCTCCCATCTCTCCAGGCCGCATGGAGCCCTTAAGGGGTGGGGGGCTCCAGGCAGTAAAGGCCATAGCTGTGCCCTGTACCCCACATGTGCTGAAGTCTTGGCCCCCAAGCTGGTTGGGGGTGACATGCTCACACTGTGGCCTTGGGATGAGGTCAGAGCCCTGGCAGAGGCCCCAGGAAGCTGCCTGCCCCTCCCCTTGTGGACATTGTGACAATGACCATCAGTTAACCAAAAGAGATCCTGCCTGGCTCTGACCTGAGCTTCCAGCCACAGGACACGGAAACACGTTTGCTGGTGTCGGGCACCCAGGGCCAAGAGCATGCCCGTCTGACTCCTCCCTCACCGGGTGTTGGGGAGGACGCCACAGCCCAGCTAAGTCTTAGGGACCCTTTCTGGATCCAGCTGCTGGGACGAGGGATCTGGACCAGCACTTGGTGTCCAGTGTGAACACACCCTCCACAGGGACACCACGTGGGAGGGAGGGGACATGTCCAACATGGGCAGGACTCCCGGGAAACACAGCCGTGGACAACACCAATTCCCAAAACGCTTTATTGTACGTTTCAAGTGGCAAACGCCATTGGGCTCCAGGGTGCCTCGCAAGGCAGAGAAGTCCCACCCATTACAAAAATTGAAGGCCTTTATAAAAACGCTAGAAATTGGTATCAAAAGAAAACCCACGGGAGGCTGAGGCGGCAGCAGAGGGAAATGAGGGGCCGAAACCCTCCAGCCCTGCAGCGCAGACAGGACCAGACGGGCAGCGGCGTCGGGGAGGCGACAGAAAGTGCATGAATGTGTCCCGGAGACAGAGGCGGCAGCCGCGTCCTCCATCAGGAACCCCACAGGAACGGGCACTGCCTGAGACTGCCAGAGGGAGACCTGCGGGGCAGAGCCAAGCGTCGGGGCAGCCGGCCTCGCCCCCCAGCGTCCTCCCTGGGCACCGGCCCTCGCCGGGCCCACCCCAGGGCTCCTGCCCCCTCCCAGCCACCCTCCTGCACCCCAGGAAGGAACCTCACCTCGCCGGCCCCTCAGACCTTCTTCTTCTTCAGCTTCAGGGCTTGCAGCCAGTTGGGCGAAGACCCTTCAGATCTGGAAGGGAGAGAGGTGTCTATAAGATGCACCTGCAGGGGGCCGGGGAGATGGCTCAGTAGAATAAGCGCTTCCCTGGCAAGCGCAAGGGTCTGAGTTCAATTCCTGGTTCCGCCAAAAAAAAAAAAAAAAGATGCACCTGCAGATGGGGCTGGAGCAGGGAGCAGAGGGAGGGAACCTCTGCAGCCAGGAGGGGGAGTGGGACCTGGTACAGAGCTAAAGCGGATTCCCCTCCCAGGCTGCTCCCAGGCCATGGGAAAGCCCGGGGCCCCCGCACCTACCCTGAGGATTTCTCTGGCTTGGGGGGTAACGCGAGGGGCTTCCCCAGCCCCGGGACCTTGCAGGACTTGGAGCGCTGCACGGCGGCCTCCTTCGGGCCCCCCTTGCCCTCCACCGGCTCCACCTCCTCAGCCGAGCGGTTCCGAGAGCGCAGCTTAGCCTGCGGGACAGTACAGAAGGACACCGATGACAGGTCAGCACCCCAGAAGCAGGTCTGACAGCCACAGTCTCCACCGGGCTCCCAGGGGGCACCTCCACCATCCAAGAACCTCCAACATAGCTGAGATCAACTCAGTGGCCCCATGCCCGGCCTTCGCCCAAGTCAGTCCCTGTAGTGAACCCACGACCCCCTGGGGGACAGGGTCATGCAAGCCTGGGGGCCTCTGAGGACTAGGGTTGGGGTGACAGTGGAGGAGGAGGCCAGGGGACGAAGAGGAGCAGAAGGCAGAAAATCTTGGACACAGGGTCCAGCGGGTGCCGATGTCCAGGTGCTACCTTCAGGGCTGACGGGCTCAGACCAGGAAAAAGGTTGACTTTCAGCCCCTTGGTGCCCAAGGACATCCGGGTCCGGCGGCTCTGCGGCTCCTCCACGACCTCCTCGTCCGAGGATGGCACCCGGGACACCCGTGGCTCTGCAGAGCAGAACAGGGGAGCCATCACTTGGCCATCCAGGGCGGGCCCCACCACGCAGCCCCTCACACCAGATGCGTGCGTGCGCACACGCATACGCGCACGCACGCGCACACACACACACACACACACACACACACACACACACTGCCATGTACCTGAGGAGTCCTGGAAAAGGCGCATGTCTGAATCTGCAGCTTCTGCCAGCCCCAGGGTCCCCCCAGGGCGGATGGCTGGGGCCCGATGCCCTCGCTTGCGGCCCAGGTGGGCCCGGCTGCGGTGCATGGCGCTATCTAGAACTTCCGTGTCCTGGTGGGGACAAAGCTATGCCCATGACACACCCGCCCCGCCGCCCGCCTGCCCGCCCTGCACCGGCTTGGGCTCCCACACTGACCTCGATGAAAGAGAAGTCCTGGCTGGGGCTGCTGCGTGGCGGCCCTGGGGGCGGCCGCTGTGGCATCAGGGCCAGGTCCTGCTCCCCGCGCCCAGGCCCTGCAAGGCCCCAGGTGCCATCCACCTCCTCCACATGGCTGGCTTCACCATCTGGCTGGGGCCTCCGGGGGGGCAGGGTGTCCCCACCTACTGCAGCTCCTTCCTGTTCCAACAGTACCCTGGGCCCCAGGGCTGCCGACTCTCTACGCGCCACCACCTGGTCACTGCCAGTCACCAGCGGCCCCTCTGGTGGGTTCCAGGTGCCAGTTGTCAGAGAGCCTGCTGGACACCTGCAAGACGGCAAGAGGACTGACCTGAGCCATCGCCTGGCCTGGGGACATCCCCTACAGGCTGGGTGTCCATCTTCCCTCCCAGACTCTGTGGCTAGGCCAGGCAGACCTGCTTGGTCTACACCTCTGGGAACCTTGGGCTTGCAGGGGTGAGAAAGGGTCTGAGGCCTTCAGCCCAGCTGGCACTGAGTGGTCACAGCCACTGCCCCACTCCTGGCTACCTGCTCATGTCCCCATCCCTGGGGTGAGCCAAGTTCTGGCCCCCCTGCCCTCCCCACCCATATCATGTTCTGCCCCTGCCCCAACTCTGGGATCTTTTCTTTTCTTTTGGTTTTTGGAACAGGGTCTATTTAGTCCAGGCTGGCCTTGAACTTCTGATTATCTTCCTGCCTCAGCGTCCCAAGTGTTGGGCAACACCGAATCTTTCTCCCCGAGATCCACAGAACCACTGCCAGGAGAACTGAGTCAAACATACCAGCCTCCTGGCACAAGCTGGCCCTGGCCTGGGAGGTTTCCCCACACCCAGTCCCTTCACAGATGTCCCAGTGGACCCCCCTCTGCACACAGCACAGTGGCCTTCTGCCCCAGCCCAGACTCAGCTCTGAGCTGAGTCCCCAAGGCCTGCCGAGGCACCTGGTCCAGCATCCACACAGCTCAGGTGGCCTCTGCCTGCTGCGACCTCACACTGGACACAAGCTCTCCGATCCCAAACAACAGCTGTGAGCATACCCACTGTCACCCCCCACAGAAGCCCAGCAGCAAGAGGGGAGGATGGGACGGCCAGGTGGGTGAGACCTCACTGAGTTAGAGGACAGGGCGGGGGGGAAGGTGTCAGCCTATCCCTCCCCAGCTGCTGACCAAGAAACTGGAGCACCTCAGGGAGGCCAGGGCCAGGCCACCCCAGAAGGGGTGGGGACCAGAGGTCAGCAGAGGGGCATGGGCATGAGCCCCCAGCCCCCTGATTTCCAGTCAGGTGGGGCCTCCTGGCTGGGCCATGACCCTGGGCTCTCAGACTGGGACCTCTAGAGCCCCAGGTTCTGCAGGCCCATGGGGGAAACTTGCACCCCATAAATGGGAGGGTGACCCCTTCTCGTCTGCACAGGACATCCCCCACCATGGGCCTGCAGAGCTGCAGCTTCCTGGTGACCAAGAAGGCACCAGGCAAAGTGCAACCCCAGGGTCTGCAGGGCCAGGGCCGTGGGCGCAGACAGCGCCGCCCACAAGCCTGGGAACTCGGAGGTCCCAGGGCCTCGGGCCTCAGTTTCCCCCATGAAAGGAGAGGGGATTCCTAGGAAATGGCCCAGGTGCCTGTACACTGCTACACCAGGGAGGTACAGGGACGAGCAGGAGACCAGAGGAGGGGGAGCCAGCTCTGAGCGACACGGAGCGCACATGGTGGCACCGGAGCCCGAGGAGAGGATGGGGCTCTTCCATTCCTTCTGCACTGGTGTGGGCTCTAGGGCATCAGACAGCATGGTCACGTTCCATAGCTGAACAATAAGAAAAATGTCCAGGGGGCCAGAAAAGCCTAGATTCCCAGCACTGGGGAGGCTGAGACAGGAGGACTGGCTGAGTTCAAGGCCAGCCTAAACTAAACAGCAGTATCTTGTCTAGAAAGAAAGAAAAAAGAAAAACAGTCCTGACGGCCTCACTTTACAGACATCACAGCTAAACTTCCCAACAGATCCAAACACGTGTGACTGACATTTTTCCGGTGATCATCACAGGTCTGGGGCTGTTACTCTGCAAGCCTTTGCCTTGCCCTGGGTGCTAGGAACAAAGTACCCTTAACATGCACAGAGGCCAGGGGCCTGGGAGGATAACACACTTGCCTGAGGTCACAGACCCTGGGAGCAGATGGGCCGGGGGCCAGCCTGCTCTGAGCTAACCTCCGGGACTTCCTGCTCCGCCAGACCTTCCTTAGGAACTTTCCACAGTGTTGTTTCCCCAGTTCGGCAGCCCCAGTAGCTCCTGACTCAAGTGAGGCTGCCAATCCGCACTGGAGACCCGCGCCTGGCACTCGGCCGCTGTGTGTGGCATCTGCCATCAGTGCACAAGGGAGGTGGCCAGAAGCAGGCCTTGCCCTGAGCCCCACATCTGCTTCTTCCTCACTCTGGAAAGGGTTTCATGAGAACCTGGCTGAACCCCCAAGTTCGGGTCCCACCAACACTCTCAGTCACAGAGCCCACAGCCAGGCCTGCCTCCTGCCACTTCAGGGGCAGGCAAGGCCACCTGGGTCCCCTCTACACAGCAGGCCCAGGCGGGCCCTGCACACGGGGCACAAAGACAAGCTAGGCCACCTGCTGCCCCCTTGCCCCCAGTGAATCGGAATCCTCCCTCCCAGGGGGCAGGTGCTGGGCAGGGTGCTGGAAGAGCCGAGCACAGGCCCTTTCCCATCCAGGAGCCGGGAGCCTCGCCACAGCCCTGCGCCTACCCACCTCCCCATAGCCACACTGCAGCTCCGCCTCCACCCCACAAGCCCCAGCAGCTCACAGCCCCGCTCCCCCACTCCCATCTGTCTCTCCTGTGCAGCCCCCGCCACACCTGCCCACGCCTTGGCCTAGGGCCTCCTACTCACTGGGCGGGCTAGGGCCTGTCACACCCGCTCCAGAAACCTGAAGCCACCATAGCCACAAAACAGAGGCGGGCTGTGGATGCTCATGGAGGACCACCCTGGTCCTTCACCAGCCTCCGGACATAAGGTCACAGCTAAGCCTGGCCCCAACCACTCCAGGTTCCCAGATGGCTGCCCCTGGGATCCAGGATAGCTGTATTCCCAACCTTGAAGGACGAGGGCAAGGTCCACCAGACCAGGGAGACTCGTGGTCCCCGGGCACCTGCAGTAGCATCTGTGCTCCAGCCTGGGTCCTGGAGCAGAGCCCACCAGGGCTGTGCAGGCTCAAGACTCCGCCTTCCACTGGGCTGAGGCTCAAGTCACCAAGAAAGCCTGAGCCATGTGTGGCCAGACAGCACCCCAAGCTCTTGCCCTTCAAGCAAACCTGGTACTTGTCTGTGTCCCACCTCACCACACAATCTAAACAGCAGAACTCAATACTGACACCACACAGGGCCCAAGGGAGAGACCTCTGTAAAGAAGGGCCCCCCACCTGAAGGCTGGCTCCCTTACCTGGCTCCGTAGCCGGCAGCTTCTTCCATCTCTGTCCCGGGGTCCGTGGTGTATGTCTCAGAGGAAGGCATGGGGCCATCCTCACCCCGGCTCTCTGGAACACTGATCTCTCCTACCCCTAACTCCCTGGCCTCCAGGAGAGGAGAGGAGTTCCCAGGGCTCCTAGAGCCAAGCTCCAAGCTGGGCTCTGGGCTGGGCCCGGCCTCCCCAACCCCCCACTCTCTGGCTTCACTGGAGGTCCCAGGAGGCCTCTCAGTCTGCAACCCCTCATCATGGGCCCAGTCCACCTGGCCCACACCACAGCCCCGGGCACTCCCTGACTCCAGGCCACAGGGCACCTCCAGATCCCTTGGACCCGGGTCCTCACCCCAGCCCAGTGCCATCTCTCTGGGCTCCCCAGGGCTACAGCTCAGCCCGAGGGCCACATCCGCAAGTCCTAGGTTGGGGGTCCAGTCTGCCTGCCCCACACCACACTCCCTGGCTCTGAGGAACTCGCCAGCCTCTGCACCTGACCAGCCCTTCTGCCCCATGCCTCTCTCTCTGGCCAGGCTGCCACCTGTAGTCTCCTCAATCCCGGCCATGCTCTGCATCCTGCTGTCCACAGTCCAACCCTGCTCCCCCACGCCAACACCAATGCCAACGCCACCGCACTCCCCTGGCCCACGCACCTCCAAGCAGCTGGCCAGGCCACCATCTTGCATGCCCAGGTGCTCTGGCCAGCCCACCTGTCCCACAGCCACCTCTCTGGCCTCAACCAAGTCCCCAGGGGCCCTGCAGGCTGACATGTCCAAGTTCCTGAGACCCAGCTGGTCAGCCCAGTCCCCACGGCCAGCCACTTCCTCCCCGGGGGACGCAAAGTGGCCACCTCCCACCTTGCTGGGTGCACTCAGGCCAGCCCCGACCCCTCGGTCATCACCAATGATGCCGAACTGAGAGCTCTTTGCCGCAGGCTCTGGGCTCAAATCCTCTCTCCAGTCCTGGAGCCCCGGGCTCAAAGTCACCTCCGACTGCGGTGTGACACCCAAGCTCAACTCCGCAGCCCAGCCTCGCTGTCTGGTATCCCCGTCCCCAGCACCCATGAGCCCTGCCACCTCTTGGCTAATGTGGCCACCTAGCCCACCACCCTGGTCCCCCGACAGCCCCCTGAAGCTCTGCTCCTCCAGCTGGCTTGCAGCACCCGCATCTTGGCCGCTCAGGGTCTTCTTCAACTCCTCCTCCCGGGGCTGCTGGGTCGCCTGCACACTGCAGCCCCCGTCCTGCTCATGGTCACTGTCACTGTACTCTTGCATCCAAGTGCTTGGCCTGAGCCCCTGGTTCCACTGTGTTGCTGCCAGGCAGGCGAAGGCACCACACTGGGAGTCCCTTTTCTCAAACTCCCGGTCCTGTTCCTCAGCATCCTGGCTGTTGTATCCAAGGGGTTCCTCATTCCCCAACTCTCGAGTGTGCTCTTTGGTGGCCTGGGGGACATGGGTGCCCAGACAGCCTCTCTCCCCTAAGTCCCAATCCCGAAGGCTGGGTTCCCGGGTGGCATACATATCCAGTGAATCCTGCTTCCCAAACTCCTGGTCCTGGAGCTCCGCATCCCGGCTGGAGACTGTGTCCCGGGAATCCCTCTTCCCGAATTCTTGGTCCTGGAGCTCCGCATCCCGGCTGGAGAACGTATCCCAGGAGTCCCTCTTCCCGAATTCTTGGTCCTGGAGCTC